TGATTGTAAGATTCACTGTTGTTTATGAAACACTAAGAGAGGAAAATATGCTTCCAATTAAACTGTGACATATCATGGATTATAAGACACATCCCAATTTTGGATTGTGCAGAAAGTGTGTATCTTAGAATCAGTGGATATAAAAATGACATCAGAATTCTGATTATTTCTCCTGAAATAATACTATTTTATTATGTTATAAGTGTCTTTGGATTTAAATAGCATTCAACAAGGGCAGCTGCTTTGACTCCTACTCTGGGGTCAGATGCTTAACTCATGTGCTTGGAGATCCTGAAGTCCAACTGAAGTAACTGGTTATTTCTACAGATGTTCAAGGGACTTTTTTGGACCAAAAGATGTGATTTTTAAAATTTGTTTAACTTTGAGATATTTTTCTCTTGGCATCTCTAGTCTGAAGAAGGTACTAAAAAGCTTTAGATCTAATCTGCATCTTTTGAATATTCTGGGTATCTTTCTAAAATGGAATCCAGTATTCTCAGTAACTAAATCACTCTCTAAGGCAGTAATCTTTTTGGTTCATGTACCTATTTGATAATCTGTTGAAAGTTATAGACTTGTGTACCTACATAAAATATTTGCATATAATTTCTAGTAATTCAAGTATTTGGTGAGGTTCAAACATTTGCTCACCCAAAGCTCTCTGAGGGAATCCATGAACACTTGCTAAGAAGTCCTGTTACAGCACAACTACTGTGCAGAGAACATTTTAGTTAAACTATTGGTTAAGGAAAATAACTAGATACAGTTGCATATAAAATTTAATAGTGCTGCTCATAGTATTTTTCAGTAGGTTTTTTTTTTGCTTCAGTGAGTATGTATGATCCTTAACTTAAGTTGTTTACTTGATGAAGACCCTGAAAACCAAACCTTGAGGAAGGATTATGAAAAAGCCTTTAAAAAATACCAGGGGCTTGTGGTAAAACAGGAACAGCTATTACGAGGTATGAATTCCTGAGCAGTGAGAAAACCAACTAAGTACTTACTCTAAGTGCATTTCTTTTGCTCCCCTTTTTTGTCATACCAGTAAAGCTAATACCAGAATAACTGAAAATTCTATAAATTTTAATATGCCACAAGGTTCTTACTCTGTTTTTAACATGGGTAATAATGTTTTAAATTTTACTCTACTGTCTTTCCCCATTTAGAACCTCAATCTTTCCTGGCTTGTAAGATTTCTGCTGAGAAGTCCGCTGTTAGTCTGATTAGATGCTTTTCTCTTGCCAATTTTAGGGTTTTTTCCTTCAAGTTGACTTTAGATACTCTGATGATTGTATACCTTGTTGAAGTCCATTTTGCGATGTGTCTCCCTTGTGTACATCCTCTTGTATCTGGAAATCTAAATCTCTCGCAAGACCAGGGAAGTTTTTCTCGATTATTCCTACAAATATTTTCCACACTTTCTACTTTTTGTTCTTCTCCCTCAGGAATGTCTATGATTTATAAGTTTGGGACACTTTGTATTATCCTATTTCTCTAAGACTGTGTTCATTTTTTAATTCTTTTTTCTTTATTTTTGTCTGGGTTAATTCAAAAGACCTGTCTTCAAGCTTTGAAATTCTTTTTTCAGCTTGATCTATTCTGTCATTAGAGCTTTCAACTGTATTTTGTAATTCTTTCAGTGAATCTTTCATTTCCAGAAATTCTGTTTGTGTTAAAAAAAATCTCTTTAGTAAATTTTTCCTTCGTATTCTGAATTGTTTTGCTAATTTTCTTTGTGTTGGTTTTCAACTTTCTCTTGGATCTCATTGAGCTTCCTTATAATACATGTTTTGAATTCTTTTTCTGTCATTTCAGAATTTTCAATTTGGTTAGGATCCATTGCTAGAGAGCTAGTGTGATCCTATGGGGGTATTGAACATTGTTTTCTCTGCCAGAGTTTTTACACTGATTCCTTCTCATCCGGAGAAGCTGTTACTTCATATTTTTGAATTTACTTTTGTTTGAGGAGATTTTTTAAATTTTTTATTATTTGTCCCCCTCGAGGGTATGACTGTAATATATATTGTGTTTGGTTATTTGGCTTTGATTTGGATGCTTTGAGGGGACCGAGACTCTGTATGAGCTCCTGGATTATAGATAGCCTTTGTGCGGTGGCTTTCTCAGATGCTGATTGTACTAGCAATGTACTAGGTGTATGAGCAGACTTACTACCTTCTGTGGGACTAGGTTTGTAGAGGTCTCACGAAGCTTATTTTGTTCTCATCACTGGGCCTTTCTATCAGCAGGTTTTATTAGTATATTGGGCTGTGCAGTTCAACCCCCAGGCCGGTAGGTGGCCCTTATGTGTAAGTGCCAGCCACCCCAGAGGCTGCTGGACACGTGCTTGATCTTTGTTTACTGGAAGGTGCTTTCATTTGTCTCAGGTAGTGGAGTGGTCTGTGGAATGCTCGAGTCTCTGAGTTCCCTGCTCAGCCCTAGAGGAGGGATGAAATTGAGCAGAGCTAGACACGCCAATGATGAGCAGAAACACCATCCATGATGCGGGCAGTGAGGGAAGCTCTTGCTAAAATGTGCCTAGGTCTCTGCCGGGGGTGGGAGGAGGAAGCCACACTAGCTCCGCATCCTGGGTTGGCAGGAATGCCATCCACCTTACTATCACATCCCTGTCCTGGAGTTCTTGGCATTTAGTTCAGATAGGTGCTATCGTTTAACTTCAGGCTGCATTGTAGCGCTCCACCAGAATGGCCTCAGGGCGGAATCTGTTCCCTCAGCCCAAAACAAGACAGCTTTGCAACTGCCTAAACTCCACTGTAGAGAGGACGATGGGCCTTGCCCTTTGTGTAAGCCCTGCTGTGGTGGGCATGCTATCAGCAGGGTGCAGTTGCTTCTAAAAGCCCTTGAATGGCTGTCCCTTGGTGTACCCATGCCAGTCCCCTGTGGGAACAGCCACAACTGTGTCTGCCTCAGTGGGTGAGAGGGGAGAAGTTCCCATCTCCATGTCGATTTCTGGGTACTGGTGCCACCTGGCCACTGGAGCAGAACCACTCTTCTCCCCTGGAGAGCCCAGCACCACTCCTGCATCTCTCTTGGGAGGGGCGCAGTCACTCTCAGCTCACAAGCGGTGAGCTCTCTTGGTGGAGCAGAGCATGTGCTCTGGCCTCCTATTTCCCAAGGGGTGCTATAGTGCTC